GTTGCAGATCAGTCCAAGAGGCCAGTGAGAATAGAACCAGGCAGGAGAGACCCAAAGAATTCCCAGCTGCAGAAGGACCACGCAGACGGGTCAGCTCTGTGCTCCCTCAGCATGACACAGCCCAGGCGTCTTCAGGATGCTTTCATAACAAACTTAAATGTCTCCAAACTGCTCTTTTCTGCTGCTATGAAACAGAACTTCTTATTTTCTTATTTCAATGGATTAAAAACAACATAAGACCACTGCGACCCAGAATGGAAGTTCTTCTGAGATGGAGACGACCATGAGAGGGACGTCTGGGTCATTCATGATGATAAACATCATTAATCTGGTAAAACGGAACATTGCTGCTGGATTACAGGAATACAGAGACAGCAGGGATCAGTTGGCTCTACTTCTCTGGATGAGGAGGATCGATGCCACCTTAAACGAGGCCGTTAATCTGACAGCAGACTGAAGTTCTGCCTTCTTTAGAGAGACTAGACCAATCAAAGCTCAGGAGGTAAAAACACGGCCTTGCTCTATAAGTAACCTTATATATCAGTACATATTGTTAAATGTGGTGGATTCTTCTACCTCCACCACAAAGTTTGTGTAATTTCATAGTTCTGCAAATGCAGATCAGCTGAAGGTGGAAGCAGCCTGGAACAAACCACTTTCCTAAGAACTGAGGGGGAAATTTCTTTAAGTTTACTTTATTTTGTCACCTTAATATTCAATTAACTGTGCTAAGTTAAAGAGTTTTTTTTATTTATGTTTTAGTTTTGTATGGACTTTTTGATTGATTGCTTCTCTGTTATATTTTGCCTCCCTCATGTGGCAAGTTTAGGTTATTCCGTCCCTTTTTAAGCAGCCTCTGTTCTTTATCAGTAGGTCAGTTTTTTTGTTCAAGTTTATTCCTGTTTAGTTGACCTCAGTTGAGTTGGGGCCCAAATCCATGCTATTTATTATTTAAGCTATTTTGTATTGCTTTTGAGTCTAACTATTTTTGACACCATTAAATGAAAGTTTTTTTTTTCCAATTTTTGAACACCTTTTGTCCTTATGTAAGTTTGGTCCCTCACAATGAACATGAGAAAATCCAAAATAAGTCGCATTAAAATAGGTTAGATTTAAATTTATTCAGTATAAAATTTTGCATAGGTTCTACTGGACCGCATGCAAACTTTTTAGAATAGGAATAATAAATAGTAATATCTGCTGGAAGTGAAAAAAAGAAATGGGTATTTTTTTTTTTTATATCTTATATGGGAGTGTGCTTTGATCAAACCATTTTGGGAAAAAATACTTAACTTCCTAGAGACATGGATAGACGTAACTCTCCCACAATGTCCTCGTCTATGTCTTCTTGGAGACAAAACAGCAATACCCCAGCTAACAAAAGAGGTTCATTCAGTGTTGATGGTTGGGATAAACTCAGCTGCAAGAATTACACTAAGACGCTGGAAGGCACCTGAACACCCTACATTCTAGGGATGGAAAGTTTTAATGACTGAACTGTATCATATGTAGGGGTGGAAATAATTTTTTTCCCCCTCCGGTCTATTTTTATCCATTTGCTCCAGGGCGTAATTCTGACTCATGGCTGCGGTGGCGCTAAGCCTATTTTGCCCTCCTACCTCGCTTCCTTTAGCCATTACTATCTTTCCGCTTGCAGTATTTTTTGAAGCAAGGCCTTTCCGAATCTATAACACAGAGGCATTATTATTTTTTAGTGAAAGGCTTTCATAGGCCTAGGTGGAGAACAACTTTGCTGCTTCTGTTATTTGCTGTTGTTTCTAAAATAAAAAGCATAACGATATTACAGCTTTCATTGGTTTATTTCAAATTTAAAAGATTGTCAAGCCTGTAAGGTAAAAAAATAAAAAATAAATTAACCAATTAATCGAATCGTATTGTGGTGAATTCCTGAGTATCGAAAATTATCGTATCGTCGGGTAAGAAAATTGATGAATCGATTCGTCATGATGGGTGTGATTTACACTCCTAATCATATAAGGTCATGCTGACTAGGCTAAGAGGCAAAGGGCGGGTGTTGTTTCTTTCAAGTGAACCTGACTTCTCAGTTGTGGCTTTATTATAAAACTGGCAGGAATGAGCATTACAGTTTTCAACCTTATTATAACATTTGTATGCTAAGATATGTGTGCATATTAGATGCATATATTTCAAATGCTGTTACATTTTTTTCCCCTTCATCATTCATGAGCACCTCTTATTTTTAAATTTGTCTGACCGTGTGCTCTAAGCTTTTATTTTCTGCATATTATACCATGTAAGCTTTGTACCATATTTGTTTGATTGTTGAAATAAAAAAATAAAGAAAATAGGTTGGATTTATCCATGAAAACAGTAGAAACTCCACCAGAAACCAGTTCTGCTCATACTCTGAGATACAGATTTCACTAATTCATACTGGATAGACGATCTGAGGAAACATCCGGTTCTTCATGCCGTCTGTGCAGAAGTTCCCTTTCCATGACATAGGAGTGAAAAAAGTGATTTTTTGACAGCTGCTCATTTCAGCTGCGTGGCGTTTATTCCAACAGCTTTATCAGTTTCCATACAAATATTTAACTATAAGAAAAAGATGTCACAAACACTTTTAAAGCAGGACTTCAACTTTCAGCCACTAGCCCAGATGTTCTTGTTACATTTTGCACTTAATCTAGAGTAATCTAATCCAGGTTTTAAGTACTGTAATTTTTAAATTACAGAAGATTAGTGAAGCCTAAGGTGGCGAGACAACTGGCAGAATAGACCTGAAATTGTAGGACAACTTCAGCTTTGTGCATCTTTTATAGCAGATGACTAGTGGAAGCATGCTAACCGATGCTAACGCCAGCCTTTCTGTGCTAATCAGAGGTGGATAATCCACACTAGGGCTGAACCAATTTATCAATCATTAATATAATCCTCAACTAAATCGGTTATTGATTAGTATAGAGACTGTAAAACGTGCCTTTAGCTGACAGAGCGACCCACTTAGAGCAGAAATTATACCAAGATTGTAAAAAAATATATATAAACATTTTACATAAAAAAAACAATCTTTTTTATCTGGCAATCAGTTCTATAATCCTACGACGGAGTATTATGGCCAGGCTAGAGATTTCATTTCTTTTATTTCAAGAATAAAGTCGTAATATTACGATAATAAAGCAGAAAAATTATAAGAATAAAGTTGTAATGAGAACAGTCATACAATTATGAGAATAAAGACATTGTGAGAACAAAATGAAAAAATTACGAGAATAAAGTCGTAATATTAAGAGAAAAAAGTCACAAGAATATTCGTAACATTACAAGAATAAAGTCGTAAAACTACGAGAATAATGTCGCAACGAGTATAGTCATACAATTATGAGAATAAACTTGTAACATTGTGAGAATAAAGTAATAAAATTAGGAGAATAAAGTCGTAATATTAAGAGGATAAAGTTCTAACATTACGAGAAACAAGTTGTATTTTTTTTTAAGCTCCTTTCTTCCCTAAAATGAGGGATGTTGAGCATCATGTGAAGTTATACTTTGGCTCTGGTTTGACAAATAAG